ACTACTTGTTACTTTCATGAATGCTGTGCACGCATGGTCAGATGGCCAGGTGAAAGCTTGATTGGTTGTATCTACTTGCACTTTGGGACAGCTTGGATCAACCTGCAGGCTTTTCAAGGGCATTGCTTCGCCACCTGCTGAGTGGCAAGTCGAGGCATGGAGCTCAGACAAAAGGACTTCCAATGATGGCCTCCAACCGAATAGACGCTACGTTACTAGGGGCTCCTGGCCGTACTACTAGGAACAATGTTTGCTATTAGAAGCAAGAAGTAAATAGAATTAGCAATCATAGACCTTTCTGCCTTTTTTGGTCTTTGTTTCTAACAGCGATGGCCTCCAACCTACCACTGATGGGCTCAAACCTACTAGCGATGGCCTCCAACCTACTAGCCATGGTGTCCAACCTACCAGCCATGGCTTCCAACCTACTGGCGATGGCCTCCAACCTACCAGCACAGCCAGCTCACAGCACCAGCACCGGCACCCGGCAAGCACCAGCACCAGCAACCTGTCTCCACCACGTGCACAGCCAGCTAACAGCACCAGCACCGGCACCCAGCACCAGCGCCAGCAACCTGTCTCCACCACGTGCACAGCCAGCACCAGCACCGGCACCCGGCACCAGCGCCAGCAACCTGTCTCCATCACGTGCACAGCCAGCTCACAGCACCAGCACCGGCGCCCAGCACCAGCACCGGCACCCGGCACCCTGTCTCCACCACGCACAGCCAGCTCACAGCACCGGCGCCCGGCACCCAGCACCAGTGCCTCGAAAGCACGCACGGGCAACTCATTGTTATTTGAAGTAAGAACCCCATAGCTTCGCTATCTGGGGGAAAAGCAATGCAGTGCAAGGCTTAAAGAATACCCTAACTAAAACAGTCCAACACACACACACACTCACAAAAAAAATAGAAGAATCAAGACAGCTATACAAAATAGACAAGCTACAAAACACACAGACAAAGCCAAACAAACATGCATACAATAGAAACCAAAGAAACAAACAAGAAAAAACAACACGGGCGCATACTCTACTTGCAACCGCTTCCGTGCGATCAAGTGTCAGGTCGAGCGGCAAAAAGCCGGACGACTTGCAGAGGATTTTCGACGGTTGAAGGTCGAGAAGGACTTCCCTTGATTTTGTTGTTTCTGTTTTTTGTTGGGCCCGGGGGTTAGGCCGGTAGAAGAGGTAGCTAGTAGCAGTAGCTAGAGGTAGCTAGTAGTAGCTAAAGGTAGCTAGTAACAAGTAAGCTACAACATATGGACTTACAGGATAGTTCACGCTTCTTTGAAGAAGCGCTCGCACTTTTCATTTGGTTCCTAGGTTCCTAGGTTTATAGGGAAACTTAAGGCCTATGTTTTTCCCCTTTCAGTCCTTCCTTGCTATCGCAGGAACGCGTTGACCGAGCGCTGCTTTCTTAGCACTAGTCACTCACTAGTTCAATGTGAAAGATGATGCGTTTGAATCAGTTGAAGAGATTGCACCCGTCATACATTCTCAGCTTTGGACGCATCCAGATCCAGGGTTGATAGTTTAAGGTAGCCGCAAGCACCCAAATATCAGCTGGAAAGATCACTTGCAACAGCAAATTTGGAGATGCTAGTCCCTATGTTAGGTGGTGATTTGTAATCGAATCATCCAATCCTAGATGTCTTTGCCGTATTTTACTGTCAACCTGCTGCTTGGCCCAGTAGGTTGGCAACCTTGGATGTCACATGGACATGTTTCATAAAGGTTGGCAATGGCATCGTTTCTTGGATCGGTGGTTTGCGCCGAGGAAGAAAGCATCAAAGACGGGTCGAAAGGATGCACGTCTAGACCTCGGCAAAGGCATTTCTGACTGTGAATGAAAGCTCAAGTGACGCCTGTTTGTCACTACAGCGACTGAGGTGCGAATGCACGTGTGGAACGGCAAGCTCGAATTGAGAAGAAGCTTATGCAACAAAACACCCAGGCCGCATGGGTGGTGTGCTACTCTGGCTCGTTTAATTTGGAATTCATCGTGCTCTACCAGTGTGGCCAGCTAAAATCTCATTTGACACTTGTTAAGACAAGAATGGAAGAAGAAAAAAGTCGAAAAGGTTTTGCAGCTTTACAAGCTTTACAAATGTTGGCAACCAAATCAAACATGTTAGTCCTTCTGTGTCTAGTTCCGAGAAGCTAAGTGTCCGCTAAGCAGCTATGCCAGCTGGCCTTCTTATTGAAAGGTTCCGACCCTTTCTTTTGTCCAAGCTGGTAGCTTCCTTCATTGATACATACATACTCCTTATACAGATACAGCTAGCTACTTACTTTCAGGCACAGCTCCTGGTTGAGAACATGGAAGAGGCCTTGCTCAAGGCAAGTTTATCCTTTCTAGGTTGGAGGCCATCGCTTCTAGGTTGGAGGCTATCGCTTCTAGGTTGGAGGCCATCGCCAGTAGTTTTTGTAGCTAAGACTGATTTCAATTGTAGGTTGGAGGCCATAACTTTTCGTGATCTGATTGTGGCACTTCTGACGCAGGTCCCAGAACTGCGTCCTCCGGTAGCGTACGGGTCCGATTCGCGTGTTCAAGCTGTTGTCGATTTGTTGACTAGGACGTTCTAGCACCCTTCAGCTGCATATCTTGATTCAGCATGTTTCAGCTCGGGTTGACGAGGCCTGAGCTGCATCCTAATGAACTCCTTCAGGCCGGGCGGGTCACAACTGTGGATTCATTTGGCAAAGCTCTAAAGGAGCCCCGTTCGTAGCGTCCTTGCTCCTAGTAGCGATGCCAGGAGCCCCTAGTAGCTTCTTGTTCCTAGTAGTAAGGCCAGGAGCCCCTAGTAGCATCCTTGCTAAAAGCATGGAATTCTTCATGGGTTTGAGGCAAAGCTGGTGATCCACGACCTGGCCACAAGTGGATTGGGCGAAAAGGTAAGTGAAATGGCAGCGAAACATGCAGGCCTGGGCTGTTCAGCTTCCTGACTGTCATGAGTCATGTGCTTTGCCTTTCCAGTAATGACTGGCCGTGGATGCCTTTGTTTGAGGCCCGCCAGTCCCCAAGGTGCCCACTGGGAAGGCTGGGTGATGGGTTTGTTCAGCTGTGAATGCCGCTCTTGAAGTAACCCCGTGTGACAGCTGACGACAAGGTCGTCAGACCCCATAAGGTACTCCACTGGGACAGGGCTGCCTTGAACAACCGGCTATCAGAGGCAGACGGCAGACGGGAATTTTGACCTAAGCTTCGGGAAAGCTGCTACAATTCACAAAACATCTCAAAACTATACGCAGACCTTCCCAGTGCATGGTTCGGCGATATGCAGATGATATGCATGATAAAATGTTCCTGCTTCGTGGTCTGACCTGATTTGATAAATGTGTCCTTTGGGCTCAAGTCAAGCTCTGTTGCTGAAACCCTTACGGCACAGAACTCCATTCACTCGAAACCTCGTGCAGCACCTTTGATCAAACTAGTTTTTCATACTGCAATTGGCGGTTCCAAGCACGTTCAAACTATGCAGCTTGGTCCTTTTCTTCTATGCTTTTCTACTAAGCGACTGTGTGCTTAGGTCATGTCCAGGCTTGTTGCTCGGCCGCAAATCAAGACCTATTTGCCCGCTTAAAGATGAAATTCTTTTGGGTCGAGAGCTAGCGGGCTTTGCGAGAAACCTTTGCAAGAAACCTTACCAAACCGTGCGTTCAAAAGGTCAACGGCTTTTGCCTCTCCTCAGGTACTGTTCGTGACTTTCATATCTCTTGCTGTTCGCGGCGATCTTTTGGAGGCGCAACTTGTGCTTTGTGCAAGGAAAATGGTCCTTGCTCCTAGTAGTAAGGCCAGGAGCCGCTGATAGCGTCCTTGCTCCTAGTAGCGATGCCCTTTGCTCCTAGTTGCTTCTTGCTCCAATCATGTTTACCCGGCCAGGCAGATGAGTCGAACATTCTGAGCACGCTTATGTCCTTTGCCCTCTCTGCCGATGACACTTGCAGCAGGCGCTGGTGGATGCTAAAACCGTGATTGCTGCGTGACTCCTTGTCGCACGCGGCAGGGAGACTCCAAATGCGTGTGGCTTGGGGGCTTTGCAGTCTGCCATGCATGCTCGAAGCTCCAAGGACCGTCGGCGAAGCATGCTAGTGTACGACAAAACCTGCAAGAATGAGTTTGGACCAGCATTGATGGCCAAACTCCCAAGCATGCAGAGAATTCTAAAAGAAAACAGCGAGTCAGGAGAGATCCCAGACGTTCGGAAGTGCTACGGGTCAATCACTGCTGGCGACGAACCAAAGCACTGATGGCGCGGAAGTTTTGGCTGCATTGGAGTGTTTCGGCCTAATTGGTGTTGAAGCCGGGTTGTGACTGCAGCATACATGCCCGCAGCAAAGCCTTTGCATTCTTGTCACCACATCCAAGGCATTTGGTCTTCAAGGACGGTAGAACAGCTCGGCTCAGCTCAAGAGCAGATTGAATTCTTGTAAGGGCCTCTAATGACTAATGATTCTAATGAATAGAGACAGGAAAGGAGATTGATTTTTGTGACAGGACACTGATTTACACCTGAACCAGAGCCAAATTGACAAGCTTTTCAAGGGAGTGGTGTTGGCCATTGCCAACGAAGCCGAAAGGAAGAACCAGAATATGCTGGGACAGAAGATCCTCCGCACTTTGCGTAAATCAGCATTGGAAGCCTTCACCATCAAGAACCCAACACATGGACTGTTCGACTGGCATGAAGTTCATCATTTCTCCTGGGTCGAGGAGGACGCCATTGAGAGTGCTCGTGCCACTATGGCGATCCCCATCACTGGTGGCTCCTTGCTGCTTTTGGCCCTCGTGTCCCTGAACTACTTCCACAGGACCTTCTCAAGAGAGAAGAACGACCAGGCGAGGCCCTGGAGAAAGTGGTTAAAGAGGCCTTCACACTGTCACACAGCGTCCAATCATGCTGGAAAATCTTTTGCAGAGCCACTCTGTGACTCTATACCTCAGGTCGTGCTGGGCCAGGGGCGAACATCACCTGGTTTAGAAACGAGCTCCACTATGACGCCTCCCCTCAGTGGCCAAGTGGCAATTCTCACAGATCATTCGGATGGAAAGGGACACGGACCCGTCAAAGCTTTCGGGTGAGAGTTTGCGTGGGAGGGCACTCACGAGAAGAGCCATTGCTTTAGTCTGAAAGAGTCAGATCTAAGCTCACATAGGCATGTGCACTGGTTACTAGTCCTATGGTGTAGCGTCGCCTAAATCGAGAGAGTGAACTGGCTGCACGGTGGCAGAGGAATTCAGAAGGCTGAGATCATAGGGTTTCACCAGGCTGACCAGTGTTGTGGCAAGTCAAAGCCAGGGTTCCAGCACAGACTTTCGGCGGAGGTGACAACCTGGAAACTGGTTTTGAAGACAGACTTGAGGATGCTTCAACCGTACAAGGCAGGCACATTTGGGAGGACGTTTTTCTTTACAGTTTACATGTTCTTTAGACCTTCAGGTCTTTCATTCATGCGGTTCTTTCGTTTCTTTATGTTTTATGTACTTTCTTTCTAGGCTTCCTTCGGCATGTTGAAAAATTATGTTGGCTGCTTTGTCAGGCAGTACGCAGCATGAAGACTATGTTTCCGTCAGCAGTGGCGACGAAGGCTCACCGCAGATCAAGGTCAAGGAGGAGGCGCCATCAAACGTACGGAGCGTTCCGACACACTAAACTAGACTGCATCATGGTGCTGGCCTGGTTTTGTCCAAGCAGACAGAGGGGGCGAGAGAAAAATGTACTGAAATGTACAATAAGATCAATAAGTTGCTGAAATCACCTGTGGTCAGCAAGGCCTAGTTTGCCCATGCAGCCGCATTTGCTAGGTCCACGCACCCTTTCTGGCTTTGTTTCGCTTTGCCTCAAGATGGGTGCCTTGATTGCTAGAAGTGCTGCTCCCGTGTTGCGCACTGCAAACTTGAAAATACATGAGCCACACAATGCCATGGAGCCAACCGAGGATATGTTTTGCACTCTCATGGCTACAATCCTGGGTGCGATCCACGGTTCAACAATGCCCATGGCATTTTTCTTTCTGTCGGATCTCTACCACGCTGTCTACATGCCAAATGATGATGGCAGCTTACCGCCAGTGAATGCCCCGCACACCATTCGAGATTCGAAGGTAACAGAAGTGGGAATGACCTACATCCTTTTGGCCCTAGTGGTGTTGTGCGCTCGAACCGGTGGCTGCTACTTGGCGATTCATTCGGCAGATCGCCAAGTGGTCCGTGCTCGGCGTCAATACTTCCAGCAGATTCTGATGCAGGGCCCCAGCTGGCATGACCTTCATCACGCCAATGAGTTGGCACCACAACTGGTCCAAGACACCCATCTCTTCCGTGATGGCATTGGAGAACGCCTTGTGGATTTCTCCCGTGCGGTCGCCATGGCAATGTCGGCCTCAGTGACTTAAATGAAATTGGCCGCGCTGGCGCATGCTCTCTCCAAAATTGGAATTCTAGGATCCTTTACGGATCTTTTTGCGGTTTTTGGACCAATGTCATGTCAATTCTTCTCCAATGTTCTACCAGAGGACGTAGACAATGTGTGAAGCCATCGCACTAGTAAAAGCCATGCCCAAGTTGCCGGGATGTTCAAAGTGTACAGAGTAGTAAGATGTAACAAGTGAGTTGCAACATGTCAAGAGCAATCTGCACGAGTGCGAGCATGTGCCAGGTTCTGGCGTGCACCCGTGATTGGAAGATTACCATTCTTATGGCTGTTGTCATGCCCATCGCTGGCCTTTGCATGGCACTCTCGGTGGAAGTGGTTCGGAACTTTGCGATGGTGGTTGAAGCTTGCTATGCCAAAGCAGGCGAAATTGCTGCCCCTTGGCGCTGGGCACTGCGCAAAGCGCATCCATTTTTTCCCCAACAAAGGTAGACTTGTAGATAACGAAATTAATACCGGAGCTTCCAAACCTCGCTGCTCCATTCAAGCTCATCAACACCCAAAGTTTTCCTAGAACACAATAGAACCCAGTTCGTAGTCAGCCGCAACAGCGTTCAACATTCAAAACAGCGAGCCTCCAGCTGCTAGATATTTCTGCGTGAAATCGGTGTGTACGAAGCTTCCTTGGGAGTCGTTTCACTGGGAACCACTTCACCTGTAGTAACAAGAAGCTTTTTAGTATGTCTTTGATCGCTACTAGTAACAAGAAGCTACTAGGTTGGAGGCCACTACTAGGAGCAAGAAGCTACTAGGAACAAGTGCATCGCTTCTAGTAACAAGTGCCTTACTAGTAGTAACAAGGACGCTACGAACGGGGCTCCTGGCCATACTACTAGGAGCAAAAAGCTATTAGGGGCTCCCAATGTCAAGTCCTTAGGGTCCGGTGTGCCTTCCTACGGACCTCAGACGGCAATCCTCTTAGATGGCAGTCTAGTCATTTACCTCTCAGTGTGTCTCTGTGAACCTCCTCTCCACGAGGTCACCGCCACCGAACTCATCAAGACCGTCACAGCTTTCAATGGTCAAAAGCAGGAGCTGGAAGCTTTCAATGGTCACGTGGACGAGGCGTGCAGCATGGCTATCCAGACGCCCGGCTGTCCAGGAAGCTGCCAAACACTGGCCGCATGGTCAGTGAGATCAGCACACAAGGTGTTTCATCCGAAAGGTAGCAACAAAAGACCTTGTCTACATTGCATGGCCTGGTGGGGCTAGCCCGCTTTGAAATGTTGTATATAGTGGATTTTGCGTTTCTTTGTATTTTGCATTAGTGAGGTTATCTAGCATTTTTAGCCATGTGATTAACGACTGAGGATTGGTGTGGTGGCAGGGTTTGCAACTGGCCTTGTGAACACTGTCTCTTGGTCCACTCTCGACTTGTTGAAATCTAATGGAGTGAGCTATGTTTGAAATGGCTTTTGCCTTGAGCACACTATGGGAGTGCAGCGTGAATCCACTAGGTCTTGATGGTGGGCATGTCCTTGGGCGTCTACTTTGGCACGCTTTGGGTTCTGCAAGACTACGAGTCTGTGACTTGACGCCCAACTCAGGCCGAGGCCAATTCTCTGGGTCCTGTGAGTCCAGGTCCTGGTTGTCATGAAGCAGATCGTCATTCGGGCAGTTGTTCAGCTAGTTTTTGCGAAGTGGAAGGCATGGCCATGGCTGAGGACTGTTGGCGTGGATCTCCACCCTTTGGGCATTGCAGAACTGGTGGGTCCATTTTGTCGGCAATGCTCCTTCCTTGCAAAGAATCTTTGTAACCAACATCGCAAGTTTGCACAAGTTTGCTATACTGCACTGCAAGGTATACAGTGGTGTGGGGATTCACGATGGGGCTTGGAACAATGAACATGTGCTTTTCCGCTTTTGCCAATGCAAAAGCTGCCATCCATCGTATCAATGAGATCCTGGATGAGCCACTTCATGTACAGAGTGCCGGCCTGAGATGCATAATATGAATGCGCGTATGTATATATATATATGTGTATACATACTATATATCTGTATCCATGTTGTTCGTAGGCTTTGTATGGCTTTGTTGCATATGTTTGGTGCATCAATCAAGGACGAAACGTGTTGAAACGCTGCCGCGACGGACTGCAAGACATAGAAAACTACATTGCCCTTCAATCAATCTCCACCATTTTGCATAGTGACTGGCCTGAACATTTTCAGGATTCTAGAGGAAGGATGAGCATACGCAATGGCGCCGGCACAGCCCGCATGTTCATAATAATCAGTGCAAGCAGTGCACCAAGCGCCAGCAAGAAGCATCACCACTGCCACCCACCCATGGCTCCAACTCTTCAAGGCTATTGGAAATGATTCCCAACGGTGAACTGCAGGTTGAGCCAATTTTGTCACATTCACTTGTCACACTAGCCCCTAGCCTGAACGGGTCAGTGCACTGAGCGTTGCCAGCAAAACCGGTGGATCTATGCGCAACCAGCATAACCGGCGTGCTGAGCTCGATCACTGCAACCAGGGTGCCAGCCAGTGTACTGACGTTTGATCATTCGTGGGCACGCTTTGCCATCTCAGCCTAAGGTGGCCGCACAGTCTTGGAGAAGATTGAGGGGGGGCATCTCCTTTTTCAATGTTTGCTTCAGCTATCCCAAGCGCCAAGATGCCTTGGTCTTGAAGAGTGTCTCCCTAGAGATCCCTGCTGGCTGCACTACGGCATTCGTTGGGAGCAGTGGCTCTGGGAAGACTCTCAGTTTTCGGCCGATGCAATTTTCGAACACCTCAGCCACAAAGTCAACTGTTTTTTTTGGACGGCCGACCTAATTAATCAAGAAAGGAGGTGAGCTCCTAGGAACATGTTCACTTCTACCTGGACACAGGATAGCTGCTTCAAGCTTGGGAAACTTAACTAATACTCAGTCGTTGCTCTAAGGAGTACCATGATCAGTTTGCTCCTACGCTTTTATCAGCCTGACTCTGGAGAGATCCGCCTTGATGGCACTCTGGCACTGGTAAGAAATCGCAGCAACTCATTGGGTGGAAATCGCAACCGTCCACAGTGTCACATTGTGCCACCATGGTTGTGGAATCTCTCTATAGGTAATAAGATGTAATAAGACCTTTAAGGAGATCCAACCGTTTCTTTTGCTAGACCAATGTTTGTGTGCCTGCAAAGATGTTTCTTGGAATTCTGGAGGCACTGACATAAGTTCCTTGGATCTAAAGTGGCTTCGCTCAAAGCTGGCTTTGGTTGAGCAGGAGCCCCATGCTGAGCCCGCAACCAGTTGCCAGTTGCTCATGTTTATCATGCCTGAGAGACCATGGAATGCACTAATTGTTGCACGCATTTCGGTTGGTTTCTCGCCAGGAGCCAATCCTCTTCCAGGATCCTGTGTACGACAATATCGCTATGGGAAGCATCACGCCTGTCACAAAGGCGGATGTGGAGAATGCTGCGAAACTGGTTGGCACCTTAAGGTGACCCATGGGCCACCATCCTCAGATGTTTCTGTTGATTTTCTTCATACAGCATGCTCATTCTCAGCTGCATTTTGGTGATCCAAAGGATATTGGCCTTTTTCCTGTGTTCTTGATTGCTTCATGCTGCCCCCCATTGGTCCGCCCAGCGCAGCCTTCCAAGGCCAGCGCTCACGACTTCATCCAGACCTTTCCATTGGGTTATCACACCAAGGCCGGAGAAGGGCAATGAAAATGTGCCTTCACCCATCTACCGCCACAGTTTAAGCATAGTTACTGTCATAGTTGTTGGATGTCTTATGTCTTAATGTTTTTTTGACTTATGAACGCTATGGGAAGAGGCCGCTGAATTTGGAGATGCAGGTGCAAGGTTTGCCCACGAAGCACGTTTGGCGGCCTTTGGTCTGATCCGTCAGGTAGGTGAAGCAGGGACACAACTGAGTGGTGGTCAAAAGCAGCGGTTGGCGATTGCACGGGCTTTGATCCGGAAGCCAGCATCTGAGCTGCACAGGCTTTCGTTTGGGGTGGGCTGGGAAGTTTGGCAGCTGGCTTGAGAATGATTTCGGGAAGCTATGCTGTTTCCCATGTTAAACGGAAACGCAACCCTGGGAACTTGGGCCGAACATGGACAAGCCGCGGGATGTCTACCCTGCCTTCCCAGTGACGATTGGATTCTGTTGAAACGGATGTTTCTGGCTCAGCGTGCGAGAACAAGACTTCCATTTCTGTTCCCTCATTGTGCTTGAGACTGTGTCTAAGGCAGTTTTGTTGCTGGATGAGGCCATGGGTGTGCTATTTTTTGTCGTGAAGAGGATTGTTTTGGCATATGATTCCAGTAACCTACAGACACAGGTTGACTGACCTAAATATTATTCCTACGTATATACTTGTCTTCTATGATAATTGTTCTCATATACTGTCTTATATGCTTCTTGTTGCTTATTTGTCTTCTAATGATATCTTCTACAGCTCCATTGGGCTGTCTACCCCATGCACCCCATTCTTGGATTGCCTTGGCCTTGGGTGTTGGACATCACCTCCTCCACTAGCAGGAAGAGTGTATTTCTAGGTATTTATTGATATGCAATATGTATCACAACGACTTGTTATTTTCTCATGTTTCAATTTCATTATAATTAAGTGTAATTACTTCTAATAGCTTCTTGTTACTACTAGTAAGGCACTTGTTACTACTAGCGTGGCACTTGTTACTAGAAGCGATGCACTTGTTCGTAGCGTCCTTTGTTTGTTGTTGGTCCTTTTTGCCTTTCGACCTTTGGAGCTTTCGTTTTTCTTTCGCCTTCTTTTTTGTTTGTGGTTTTGTTCGGGTTCGTTTGCTCTTGCATTTCTCAGCATTTCAGATTTCAGCTTGGTTCAAGGCTACAAGCGCACTTGACTCAGCTTCAGAGCGTCAAGTGCAGAAGGCTCTTGACGAACTGTTGGATGCTGGTGGCCGAACCACCATCGCAGCTGGGCTGTCAAAGGGCGGAGGCCGCTGATCCAACTCAGTCTGGATGCATTTTGCAAGCACAGCTTGTTTGGGGAGAATGTCGCACACTCATGCTGCATCCAAACACCGGTGCATTCATCGGCACCGAAAAGTTTGTTTTGCAATGTGTGGTTTCTTTGTTTTGGGTCTATCGGCCAAGGTGGTCGCGCATCGCTTATCAACCGTTCGCCATGCTCACCAAATCTGTGTGCTGGACAAGGGCAAGCTGGCCGAAGTGGGCACTCACGATGCTGCTTGACAAAGCATTGCTAAGACTTAGAATTTTCGCCAGACTTGGACGCTGCTTTTGGGAAAGTTTGTTTGTACATTTGGTACCCCATTGTATGTTAGTGTTCAGACACCGCTTGGGCTCATCTTATCTTCCTCAGCCGATCGCTCTCTTAGGAGCTTATGAAGAAGAAGGGCGCTTACGAAAAGCTATTGAAGCTGCAGCTCTCAGTGCAAAGAGAGGAGGACTGCGGGGTTGCGGTTTGAGAGGAATGCCGCGGCAAGTGCACATCAAAAGAACCTGACCCTGTTGCCTCTTCCAATCCCAGTTGCACCAGGCGGACACTGAATGTACAAGTCCAAAGACGACCGCTCGAGACGAGAAGGTGCGCGCCAGTGGAGCCGATGGAATTTAAGCAAGTAATCCAATTGATCGCTGGTAGGTTGGAGGCCATCGCTAGAAATTCGAAAGAAACCAACATGGCGACAGCAGTTTAAAACATGCCGATGCACATCCATGCACATTACCGCTCAAGTTGCTCAAGTGTCACGCATATTTTCCGATGGCTTGGGTGTAATTCGGTTTGGACAAGACTTAGGTCGAAGAGGAGTCAACTGGTGCTGCGGAGCAACTTCTTGCCTCAAGAACTACCTCACCCAAGGCAAGCTGTGCAATGGCAAGCAGTTCTCCAAGTTCATGTCATCAGCATAGGCAGATCTCGTCAGATCTCATTGTAAACAGAACAATTCTGAATTCCTGGACTGACAGGAGAGTGAAGCGGAAACTCCAGGCCCGAGTGAATAATGTTGCGTTTGTTTGCTTCCATCCTCCAGCAAGCTGGCCAAAGCGCAGAAAGAAAGCACAAGCCCCATGAAACCACTCACTGTGTATCGCTGTGTGCTGTGACACTGTGGTGTTCAGGCGCCACTGTCACAACAATGGATGGAGACAGATGAACTGTTTCGGAAGATGTTTTTTTTGGTAGCTATGTTTGCGTGTTGACTCTTGATTGTGCCGGCAATGTGAGGGTAACGTTTGCAGGCGAAAAAGATTACACCCACGCAGCAAAGACCTATGACTTCCAAAAAGATTTGGGTGCAAGGTATGCAGTGACACAATGCTGGAAGTTGAGTCGTCAAGACTACAAATACTATGTCATTGGGGTCGGCTTTACTATCCTTGGCACCTTGGGCTAGCGCAAGTGCACTGTGCCGTGTTGGATATAAAAATAAATTTTACTTGCAGAGGAGCTGCTTTATCCTTTTCCATAGTGAATGTACCTCACCCAGTCCTGAGCTTGAAGGCTCCCTGGTTATGCCCTACTACAGCGTTCAGTTCTCCTATGTTGTCAACATCTTCAACCAGCCTCCGGCCGTTTTGGATCCACAGACAAACAACTGGCCGCTTCGGCTGAGTTGTTTGGAGTCATAACCAAAGTCTTGTGTAATCTTCTCACATGTACGTTATGCAATACATAAGGGAAAAGGGAAAACAAGAAAGTAGGCTTGGGCCTGTCCACCTTCTTGTTTTCAACATTAATATTGTTGTCGATCCAGAGCCAGGTATGCTGCTTACAACGAGCCCTTGATCGCCTCAAAGGTCTCCAACTTGTGCATGCTAATGCAAGCCTTGAGCATTTTTTGGTTGCTGTCGCCCGGCCACCAACAGGTTGCACGTTGTCCGTTGTGCCACTAACAAACAGCAATGGTGGACCCAGAGCTGTTTCTAATGTGAAGGGGTTGTCAATTCAATTGGGTGGGAGGGACTGAAAACCTCAAACCAATGTCACCAGGCCCACAAGTGCTTCCTTCCTAATCAGTAGTTATACAATACAAATGCACCTGCACAATTTTGTGCACTGAAAGAAGGAGGGCAAAGCATATTCACAGAGGGGGGGACGTGTGCCTCAAAGGCATTGCGTTTGCCATCGTTTGCCTTCTTGGCTCAGTATGGCCCAGTCTTTTTCTTCTAAGAACCTGGCCGATCAGGCAATCCATTGGCAGCTCGTGGGCCTTTGGAAAAGCCGGTGAACTGCTCACAGTCCGGGTTCGGTCGATGCTCTTGGAAGCTTTGCTTCGGCAGGACTCGTTGTTGTTTTCCTTTATGATCCTAGTTATGATCCTTTATGTCATTGCTGAAGTAGCAGTTGAACATTAGATTTCTGAGCGCTTTCACTGGCAGGAGATCACGTGGCATGATAAGCAGGGTACTGGACAGATCTTGTGGAAGCTGGGAGCTGATATTCCACAGTTGAAGACCTTGGTGGGCGCATCTGGGCAGCACTGTTTTGCTCTGTGGGTCTATGGGAGCATTGTTGCAAATTGAATTTGTGCAAGTTGCATCGGGTTGTTTTCACCCTTCATAAGGCCAACATTGCCTCCGCTGCCAACTTCCTTTTTACAACTGTGATTGGGATTGGCATCGCCATGTATTTCAGCTGGCGCTTTTGTCTCTGCATTTTGATCACGATGCCTCTTCTGGGAATTAGCTCCATTGGGGTGGCCTTGAACATGAGGGCCATTGAGGGCGACTACTCCAGTGGAATTGTCTCTGAATCTGTGAACAGCGTGAAAACAGTCACAGCCTTCGGTTTGCAACCTCGTCTTTTGGAGAAGTATGAGGAGAAGCTGGAAGAACACATGACAGATGAACGTGGCATCCGGAAGTTGAGCGCTCTTGGCACCGGTGTGGCTTCTGGATCAGTCTTCATGATCTTGGCTTTGGCAGTTTGGGGCATCAACGTCTTCATCAGTCGAGGTCTCATGGAAGTGGACATTGCCACCATTGTGATCATGGTCTTGGTGACCACCGTCTCTGCCTTCGGTGAGCTCGCGCGCCTTGTGAGTGACACCTCCTTGCCCCAGGATGCGGCCAGGCGAATCTTCAACGTCATCGCCCGAAAGTCCAAGATTGATCCCTTCTCCTCGGAGGGTTTGAAACTGGATGAGGTGAAGGGACTGGTGGAGTTTCAAGAGGCGCGACGCGGATGGTGCAAACGACGTAAACGGTAGCAAACAGATGAACAAGAGGGGCACAAGAGAAAGCCTAGTGGGCCTAGTGACTAGTGTGGTTATGCGGACTTTGCGCTGAAAGTAAGGGACGTGTAGACTCAATTTGGACGCAACTTTGATCCTTTCTCCTTAGGTCTACTTCCGCTATGCGACGCGGCCAAACCTTTCCGTGATGGATGGTTTGAGCTTCCGCGTTGAGCCAGGGACCACCACAGCACTGGTGGGGCCAAGTGGTTGCGGCAAAAGCACCACCGCAACCTGTCAGACTCAAGACTTTCAACACCGGCTCACCAAACAAAAGCGGACTGACAAAAGAAACTGTTCTGCACTGCTCCCTGCATTGAATCTCAGGTATCCTTGATTCAGCGCTTCTATGACCCCCTAGGCCCGGAAATAGGCCAATGGAGCAGCGCATGCCTTTTCTCATGTTTTGGCAGGTGGCGCAGTCTTCCTGGATGGGCATGATATCAAGACTTTGAACCTTGCGTGGTATCGTTCCCAGATGTGGCCTGGCTGCAGATTGGGTGATTGCACGAGGAGCTTGCCGCCCTGCTATTAATGATGGCAGGAGCTTGGTGCAGCAAGAGCCTATCCTGTTTGCCCGCAGCATTCTCGACAACATTCGCTACGGTCAGGAGGACATCAAGTCACAAGTCTAACATAGTCTAACTGTCTAACTCATTGGGCTTGCAATTTGTCTGATCTGTTTGCACCTTTGAGCTGCTTGCCAGATCTGAGCTCGCCGTGCGTCACACCGCTGCGGTCGCCGGCAGGATGCCACGATGGAAGAGGTGGAGATTGCCGCGAAGGCGGCCAATGCCAGCGACTTCATCGTGAGTATGCCACAGGCGGTGTCAGAAATTGAGCGAAACCCGTGGATTTGGCAGAGTAAAACCACAAAAACACATCTTCAACGAAAGACCTGAAGAAGTGCCCTTGCTTGCCATGATGAAGTCTTTTTCCCAAGCAGTGGCACAAGGCATCCCAAACATTAGAGAAGTAATACCTCGCATCCTCGCATGTCAGGGCTTCAGCACACAGGCAGGACATCGTGGAGCTCAGCTAAGTGGCGGACAGCTGCTTGGCTGAGCTGATACATTCATCAAAACTTCACAACTGGTCGGTCCCAGTTTGAAAACAGACGTGAATATAGGTCCTTTCATCGTTTCCAGCTCTTCCATATTACTTTTGTTCACTTTGTGTGTGCTACTTGTTAGTACAGATTGGGGAGCACGTGTGAGTGTTTTATTGCATGATTGCCTTGCACGTATCAGAAGAGACATTGAACACACATGCTTGCTGATATGAATCGCGACAAGTGTTTTCTTCCCATGTTGGTGCCCACCCGCTGTTCAGCCAAAAGGGTGACTCTTATACACATAACTTAGGAAGCAGCGCATCGCCATCGCACGAGCACTCCTTCGCGATCCAGCAGTTCTTTGATGCCAAGTGAGATATGTTGACTGCATGGCATGGCATAATCAATGTCACAAGTTGGCCGTGGTATGCCACGGGTCTTGTGCCACAAAATGAAGGTCACAAGCAGTCCATACTACTCTCCAAACCCATGTCATCAAAACACTCCATGTGTATAGGGCGCTTTACAAGACTGAAGATCGCTTTGCATGCTTTACAGAAACCATGGCCATTAGGTTGGAGGCCAACACTATTAGGTTGGAGGCCATCGCTAGTAGGTTGGAGGCCATCGCTATTAGGTTGGAGGCCATAGCTATTAGGTTGGAGGCCATCGCTATTAGGTTGCAGGCCATCGCTATTGAATTGGAGGCCATCGCTATTAGCTTGGAGGCCATTGCTATTGGGTCACCGCTATTAGCTTGGAGGCCATTGCTATTAGGTTGGGGGCCATCGCTATTAGGTTGGAGGCCGTCACTATTAGGTTGGAGGCCATCGCTATTAGGCCACCGCTATTAGCTTGGAGGCCATTGCTATTAGGTTGGGGGCCATCGCTATTAGGTTGGAGGCCCTCACTATTAGGTTGGAGGCCATCGCTATTAGGTCACCGCTATTATTAGGTGGGAGGACAATGCTATTAGGTTGGAGGCCATTGTTATCAGATTGGAGGCCAACACTATTAGGTTGGAGGCCAATGCTAGTAGGTTGGAGGCCATTGCTAGGATAGGCTGGAGGTCATCGCTGTTTTAGGTTGGAGGCCAGCGATATTAGGTTGAAGGCCATTGCTATTAGGTTGGAGCCATTGCTATTGGGTTGGAGGCCATCACTATTAGGTGGGGCCATTGCTATTATAGGTTGGAGGCCATCGCTATTAGGTTGGAGGCCATTGCTATTAGGTTGGAGGTCGTTGTGATTGTAGGTTGGAGGCCATCCCTATCAGGTTATAGCCAATTAGGTTGGAGGCCATCCCTATTAGGTTGGAGGCCGTCGCTATTAGGTTGAAGGCCATTGCTATTGGGTTGGAGCCCATCGCCATTAGGTTGGAGGCCGTTGGTTTTTGGTTGGGGGGCCATCGCTCTTAGGTTGGAGGCCGTTGCTGTTAGGTTGGAGGCCATCGCTCTTAGGTTGGAAGCCACTGCTATTAGGTAAGAGGCCATTGCTATTAGGTGGGAGGCCATCGCTATTAGGTGGGAGGCCATCGCTATTAGGTTGGAGGCCATCGCTATTAGGTTAGAGGGTTAGAGGCCATTGCTGGTAGGTTGGAGGCAAAGGCTATCAGGTTGGAGGCCATTGCTCTTACAGTAGGTTGGAGCCCTTTGCTACAAGGTTGGAGGCCATTGCTATCAGGTTGGAGGCCATTGCTATCAGGTAGGAGGCCATTGCTGGTAGGTTGTGTGAGGCCGTCACTATTAGGTTGAAAGCCATCACTATTACGTTGGTGGCCATTGCTATCAGGTAGGATTAGGTCACCGCTATCAGGTTGGAGGCCACTCCTATTAGGTTGGAGGTCATCGCTTTTTTTAGGTTGGAGGCCAGCGATATTAGGTTGAAGGCCATTGCTATTAGGTTGGAGCCATTGCTATCAGGTAGGAGGCCATTGCTGGTAGGTTGGAGGCCATTGCTTTACAGATGCTTCTTTTGGGCCGTCCTGAGGTGCTTTTGTTGGACGAAGCCACCAGCTCATTGGATGCGGTCAGTGAACGACAGGTGCAGGATGCCTTAGATCGGCCACTTTGCGCAGAAAAGAGCGAGCGCAGGACGCAGGACATCCAGCTATCAGGGTTTTGAGAGGGTGTGACATGTTTGACAAGTTTGAGGTTGTGGCAGTGGGAGCTGCTAAACGGAGAACCGCCCTGCTGTGCATACCCCTACCGGAATGCATATCATTCTTAGCAATCGCTATCAGTAAGCCCAATGAGAGAAAGAGAGAGAGGGAGGGAGGGAGAGGCAGAGAGATAGAAAAAGAAATGGAGAGTGAGAAACAAAGAACTGGATTGAGAAATGGGAGATCGAAAGCAAAGAAAAGGTGTTGATAAAGGTATGTTTGAAGGGAGACCGCAAGGGTGCACAGACGGGTTAAAACAGAAGTCAAGAGCTTTTGGCACTCCTGATTGCTTTGACCAAGGCTTTTGAGGTCAAAGCCGCGAACTACAATCATCATCGCTCACAGGCCTCGGCTTTGTGCCATCGAGTGCTGCTGAGATCTTTCCGAAATAGTAAATCACAGCATTGCAAAGTATTCGATAGGAAGTACATGGGGCATGGAGGGGGAGAGAGATAATGGGTGGGTGGGTGGGTGGGTGGCCGAGGCCACGACCTAAGGGGTCGTTGAGGTTATATATCTTGACGTTGCTCCCAGTAGTAAGGCCAGGAGCCCCTAGTAGCGTCCTTGCTCCTAGTAGCGATGCCAGGAGTCCCTAGTAGCTTCTCGTTCCCAAAGCGAAAATGAGACAATGAAATAGTGTTAGCAGAAGCCGAAGAACCCGAGGCTCTCAACGGTGCGAGATGCGAACCAGATTTGTGTCTTCGACCATGGCAGGGTCGTTGAGAAAGGTCGTCACGAAACTTGGTGCTATTATACTGACTAGTGACTACCCATCAAGTCATTTCTGTCATTTCTATTGCCATCAAATGAAGTCCTGCCTTCATGAGCATTCAACTGGGTGCCGTTGAGATAGCCTTCACCTTGGCGCTAAGGAGCAGCTAATTGCGCAGGGTGGCCACTATGCCAAGCTCGTGTCCGCCCAGCAGTCGCCTGGCCAAACTGGACCGCGAAGCAACTGAGGGAGATACTGCATGCTATTTCAAGCATCTACCAAGCATTAATCATGCATGTTTGGGAACTAGTAACAAGAAGCTACTAGGTGGAGGCCGTCGCTATTAGGTTGGAGGCCATTGCTGCGAACAAGAACGCTACGAACGGGGCTCCTGGCATCGCTACTAGGAACGATCGGACGCTACTAGGAACAAAAAGAATTGACTCGGCACGCCCGATAGCCCGATGGAGTGAGACACGCATCAAGTAAGTGGGGAACCGTCGCATCGCCACAACACGCCTTCCCATGCTTTACTCGATACGCACTGTGAGAGCTTGGCTTGAATCATGTTTCGTGGATCGCCTCCTCCTTCCCTACTTCTTGACATGAGGATCAGCATATGAAGCAAAATGAGCCGCACTTCACCAAGAACCTGCAAGTGAATACTGTTCGAGTTTCCTTGGTGTGCAGTTTTGGCTTGATGCCTTCAATTCTGCAGACTGCAGCTTGTTTTCCCGAACTGCACGAGCGAACCAGTCATGCCTCACTCAAAAAAGATGTGGACGATGTGTGGACGCGCTTATTGTCGTAACCTATATGCGTAGCGCTTTCATTGGTGGTTGGAACTCCCGAGATGGGTTTGTGCGAAAGAATGTTCACATTGCTGCCTGGTCAGTACCTTTCAGTACCCTTACTTCATGTGATGTTGATCATTCCTGTTTCTTTGACAGAACGCATTGCAGGCACACTGTTTGGCCCAGCCAGCTGGTGGAGTCAGGACGGCTTTCTGCTTGGAACACAACTGTGACCGACTGTGACCACCCTCCCGTGACCTGGTGCACCGAGACCCTATGCAAGAGGTATACCACGTTTTTTTACTTGTTACTAATAGCTTCTTGTTACTACTAGTAAGGCACTTGTTACTACTAGCGTGGCACTTGTTACTAGAAGCGATGCACTTATTACTAGAAGCTTCTTGTTACTACTAGTAAGGCACTTGTTCCTAGTAGCGATGCACTTGTTACTAATAGCTTCTTGTTACTACTAGTAAGGCACTTGTT